CACAAAAGGTTACAAAACGGGTTTTCTTGTAAAAGGCCAAAATTTCTTGCCATTTGCTTTTATTTTTGTTATTTTGCGTTGTGCTGTTGTAATGGAAGCAGAATATGTATTTAGAAATTGAGGTAAGTTTTCTACAGAAATAAAGCTTATAAGTAAGTTAGGTTAGGTTAATTTACTTTATCTCACTGTGACGAGTGACGTCATTTCGTTTATCAAATTTGCTGGCAGTTTATGTCATTTTAATCTTCGTTATAATATAAATATTTGTTGTCCCTCCTCCTAGTTTTATTTATTAGTTTTACAGTTCTGATTGAAAAGCACATAAGAGGAGTTCATGTTTTGTTTAGGCAAGAGTATTGTTTGTTGTATTAGTCAATTTAAAGCAATATTAACAAAATTATTGTTAATCAAATAATTTGTATCAAATCTTTTTATTAAGTACCTATAATTATTTGTTTCAGGTTAGTGCATTTAAAGGAATTGGTAGAAATGAAGCGATTCGCCTCCATATTTTATGAAATAATGTTTAAAAAATATTTATTTGTTTGTTCAAGAATCAATGGTTCTGTTTTGTGTATTTTAAATAAACATATATTTTTTTAAATGACTTCTTTTTAATAAAAATAATACAGTGTAATATTACATTCAAAAGCTATTTTGATATTTCAGAAACATTTTAGAAACGTTTCTACAACGTTTCATAATATTTATGAAACATATATAACCTAGAATACAGTTCTGAAATATAATATTACTGTTATATTTCTGAGAAGTTTCAAATTTTTATTTCTGAAATATTACTATAAAATATTTCATTTACAGGGCATTTTTACATTTCTGGGACATTCCAGAAATATTTTTGGGACGTTTCATAATATTTATGCAATATTACAAATATTTTAATGTTGTATTCTTGAAATATTTCCGAAATGTTTTGTTATTGTATGGGGTGGCCCTGGTATCATTGTCACCCTGTATTATTGTGTGTGTTGTGTTTATTTCGGTGTTCTCGAATTGAGGACCACTACCTGCATAGACCAAATAGCCCAATCGGATTAGTATTTTAGATTCTGAAAAATTGGAAGCAGCAATTTTCCTTCGGAATTCGTTGGAGGGGGTCTCTGGTAGTCTAAATTCAAAAAGTTGGGATTCCAAAGTTGTCGTTACCTCCGCCATCTTGATTTAAAGGGTTATTTTTTGTATCTTGAATAACTCATTTATTTTCAATTTTACAAGGAAAATAGTTTCTACAAAAGTTATTTAAAATTAAATTTCCTACAATTCTGCTTTTTTTTGTACGATCGATTTTTTCGATTTAAACCCGAAAAGAGGGGGTGAATTTTTGGTTATAGAATAACTCGTTTATTTTCAATTTTACGAGAAAAATTGTTATAAACAAAGTTGTTTAAAATTAAATTTCCTACAATTCTGCTTTTTTTTGCACGATCGATTTTTTTCGATTTATACCCGAAAAGAGGGGGTGAATTTTTGGTTATAGAATAACTCGTCTATTTTCAATTTTACGAGAAAAATTGTTATAAACAAAGTTGTTTAAAATTAAATTTCCTACAATTCTGCTTTTTTTTTGTACGATCGATTTTTTTTTCGATTTATACCCGAAAAGAGGGGGTGAATTTTTGGTTATAGAATAACTCGTTTATTTTCAATTTTACGAGAAAAATTGTTATAAACAAAGTTGTTTAAAATTAAATTTCCTACAATTCTGCTTTTTTTTGTACGATCTATTTTTTTCGATTTATACCCGAAAAGAGGGGGTGAATTTTTGGCTATAGAATAACTCGTTTATTTTCAATTTTACGAGAAAAATTGTTATAAACAAAGTTGTTTAAAATTAAATTTCCTACAATTCTGCTTTTTTTTGTACGATCGATTTTTTTCGATTTATACCCTAAAAGAGGGGGTGAATTTTTGGTTATAGAATAACTCGTTTATTTTCAATTTTACGAGAAAAATTGTTATAAACAAAGTTGTTTAAAATTAAATTTCCTACAATTCTGTTTTTTTTTTGTACGATCGATTTTTTTGTATTTATCCCTGAGAAGAGTGGGGGTGAACCTAAGTATTGTATTGTCACGTTTATTATTGATGTTGTACCGTTATTTTTTCTGTTTGTTTTTTTTGCTGATACCTGGAATTAAAAAGAAACGTGATAATACAATGATAAGAGTTTACCCCCACTCTTCTCAGGGGTAAATACAAAAATCGAGCGTACAGAAAAAAAACAGAATTGTAGGAAATTTAATTTTAAACAACTTTGTTTATAACAATTTTTCTCGTAAAATTGAAAATAAACGAGTTATTCTATAACCAAAAATTTACCCCCTCTTTTCGGGTATAAATCGAAAAAAATCGATCGTACAAAAAAAAGCAGAATCGTAGGAAATTTAATTTTAAATAACTTTTGTAAAAACTATTTTCCGTGTAAAATTGAAAATAAATGAGTTATTCAAGATACAAAAAATAACCCTTTAAATCAAGCTGGCGGAGGTAACGACAACTTTGGAATCCCAACTTTTTGAATTTAGACTACCACAGACCCCCTCCAACGAATTCCGAAGGAAAATTGCTGCTTCCAATTTTTCAGAATCTCAAGCCTGTTCTTCACCTAATTCGATTGGGCTAAAATAAGTGCACCGAATTGCGGACCGTACTAAGGATTAGGGATTAAGGTGGTAATGAGGGTTCATTGCGTTAACTAGATTACTGAGAGAGATTTTTGTACCTGGAAATATGACACGAATTGAGGAACAAACTTCTCAATAATTGAAGTATCTTATCACTATACCCATTTATAATATTATTATTTGTCTTCTGATGGATTTGCAAAATTTGAAGAAAAGTACGAATTCAGATAAAAATAGATATTTATTGCACAATTTACAATTTATAATTAATTTTTTAAACATATACATATTATTTACATTTAATACACTTTATGATAATTTGATGCGAATTTTACAAAATCTATTCGTTTTATAGAACCATTTTTATATTCTAACATTTTTGAAGTTAACATATTTAATCTTCGTCTAACAATTTTGTTGTTACATTTAACAGACTCCTTAAGGCTGTTAATACGAATATAAGTATCTGTTTGAAAATTGTTCAAAACATTTACAAATAAATACAATGAAGGGTGCATTGAATAGAAATTTGAATTAAATCTAGAATGAAAGGACTCGCATGCATTGGTAGAATTTTCTGTAGTTACAACAGCTTCAGCCCAAATTGTTGGTGGAAATAAAGAATTTTCTTCAATATAATTCTTTACTAAATAGTCAGCTAAATTTACCACAGCTTTATGCATATGATCGGGCTGAAATTCAGCCAAATCCAAAGCATAACATTCTCCAACTTCTTCGGGTTTTAAAAAAGACAATCCAAAAAGATACCTCATCCATTTTCCAGTTGCACTTTTTTCATCTTGGTATTCTTTAGCCAATCCCAAACTCTGTATTTTTCTGTACCAAGCTTGGCCAAGATGAAACCTACATCCAATGATCTTTGTGGTGGGCCATTGCGCAGAAATTGCTTTGTGAATAGCTAGTTCATAATCAGCTACAATAATTTTTGGAACAAATATTAAATTAGCATTACAACACTTTTCTTTAAGAATAACGAAAAGTCTTTCGTATGTTAAACGAAGTTTATTCGGTAATAAACAAAAAGCTACTGGTATATAATGGCCGTTTTCTACGATATGAAGTGTGAACAACTGTAAAAAATGTTTCGTACAATATCGAAATGTTCCATCAAGATACACTTTGTCACTACTACACAAAAATTTTAAATTAGTATAGCACGAAAATACTACAATATTGTTAATATTATCAGTGGCCAAGAGAAATGGTTCATTTTTAATTGTTGTCAAATTTAATGTTGGTAAAATATCGAAAACATCTGATACATTGCTTGGTAAACGTGCTTGGACTTGACGTCTTTTGTAATACATATTATTTCTTATGTATGTAATGTCTTTTCTTGTCAAAGCGTCCATTGTATCACTGTTTTCCCTTAAAACAGAGTGTATGATTTTCGATGGCCGTTCTGTGATATCTTCTACAGCTTTCCGTTTGCTTGCTACACTCAAAATTTGTCTATTTAATTTCTTTATGTCATTTTCATGATTGTGCACTGTTTCTTTTCGAGAAATTATATTATCTGAACCTAGCGTAAATACTTTTGCGTTACATTTACTTACAGTACAAGTCCAAAACTTTTCACCACTTTTAAGAACCTTTTTTTCACGAAACTTATAATCATCCCACACAAGTAACGACTTTCCCTTTTCACTTAAGATCATTTTAATTTCACTCATTTTTACAAGACTGCTCAAAATAAACTAAACACAAAACACTCACTTCAAATATATATTAGAATTTCGAAAGTAAAGTAATAAAATGCTCGTTAACGCAATGAATCATCATTACAACCTTAATCCCTAATCCGCAATTCGGTGCACTTACTATAATTATTTCTCAGAAGCCTGGTCCTCAATTCGTGTCATATTTTCAGGTACAAAAATAAACCCTTCTTAATATTTTCATTTTGGTTCTCAATTCGTGTCTGCCCGTTTATTTGTCTATAATATTAAAAGTAGTAAGTCATTAACATTTTTAAATTTGTAATAATATATCGTTTTCACTTTATTATTTAAATATATGGTCAATTAAAACTACATTTTTTACGATGGATTAAAAATATTTATATCTAGATTCGTAAAAATATGTTAATTATGATTGTCTATAAACGAAACCTTATTATTTATGTTTATATACATAATTTTTTAGAAGTACTACTGTAATTATTAAGGTAGATAAAATTAAATTGTTTTGTTGATTATTCAATTAAAAGTGTCAAGAAAAAGCAATTAAACATTTTTCGTAATTATACACGGAAATATATCTACCTAATTTAAATGTACATAAATAACGTTTGAATTAAAATTGTTTCTTATTTATTTATTTATTATAACTTACCACATGTCCCATCCTTCCCAAATATTTCATTTTATCTTGAACTATAGCAACTTGCTTCATATACCAATCACGAGCTTTTTCAACAGCACTTAAACCCTGCATCAAAACGTCCTTTTCCTGTTCAATTTGTTTCATCCTCTTCAACATACTGTAATCAATTCCATTTTGTAAGGTGTGTCTCCGCGGTTCCCTCCGCCTAGGATTAGTCTTTTTTTGGTAAATTCCCCCTTGCGCAGCTTGAATTTCGCCCTGTATAGCTGGCTTTCCGTCACCCATACTTCGGCTGGTCCTGAGTAATCCTCCTGTATATTGCTGCTTGGGGTTGTTTTTATTTTCTTGATCGCTTAACATCACCCCCATCTGCCAGTTCTGTAAAGCCGTGCGTATCTCGGCCCTGTCTAGGTTCCCTGTGGTGACCCCTCTTTCCAAGCCAATGGCTGTCCGTGGGGGTTTCGGAGGACCAAATAGCGTGGGTTTGTTTATATTCGGAACCTGTTTTTCAAACGTGTGCTTATCAACGGTTTCTATAATCATATTTTCTTTTCTTTCTGGCATTAATTGGGGCATTGATAGGGTTCTCTGTTGGGTAATTACGTTATTTGGTCTGATTGCTGCTGTGTTACCCCAATTGGGCGGTTTTGGAGGGGAATCTATGTCTAGTAGAGGAGCCGAGGGTGGTCGGTTAGGTTTTATGTTGTTTTCGGGGTGTTGCTTGATGGTTTCTCTTCGTTCAACTTGGTTTCTGAGTAAACAAATTTTTAAACCGGCGCAAAAACGTTCGAATGATAGCATACCATTCGGTGGCGTAACTTTCCTAAGACTTTCTATTACGCCCTTAGGCAGTCCTTTGGTATTATCGTCCTGCCATCTGTTTTCTATATCAGTAAAACTAACGAAACCGGTGTGCTTATCATCCATAATGTCGAAGAGGGTTCGCATGGCACTGACGAATTGTTTAGGTAGACCGTCGAGGGTTGACGAAGGCGATGTCATGTTAGTAAGTACCGCGAGTTTAGCACCACAACACTCTTCACTAGTACCGTCGCGTTCGGGCACTGCTCGGTTTAGTGCTCGGCGTCGAGCGGAGTCTGCGACTGAGTAACATTAGAGACGTGGCCAGCGAACCAGGTAAAAGGTGAGTTATAGCACAAGAATGGGCATTCGAACATAGGCGTATCTCCGTGCTTTGTTTCTGGGCAGTCGAGGAATTAAGATGGTGGGGTGAATGCGATTGGTTTCAAAATGTAGGCTGTGGCCAACTTAATGCTCGCTCGGTATTTATTTGAAGGTCTTCATGCGTATTTTTATGACTAAATAATAATTAAAAAGATTGTTCAATGGGTCAGTAGTTGTGCTATAAATATTTCTTATCTTGTTTCATAATTAGATGGAAACTAAAATCACAATAGCATATTTTAATTAAATATGTAACATTGTATAATATCTAGGTATACTAGTTATTTCGACTAATCGATTAATGTCTAAATAATAAATTAATTTAATAATTAATTATTGGGTTATTACTCTTATAAACCAACTAATAATTATTTATGAAAAACGAAAGGTAAAGGGCGAAGGTGACTCAAATAGCTTTGTATATACGTCGTACATGATTTTTAGAATAATTAATGGTTTTGAGAATACCTTCCAGAATAAATGCCACTGGGAATATTTTTAGATTACCTATACGGGTGGTATCATCTCAGATATAGGTACTTACTCTGTGAATAATATTCAGGATTATTCTTAAAATATATAGCATATTCTTTTAACTATTAAATGCGGCATATTCTGAGAATAATCATAAAAACTTATTCCAGTTATTCGTAAATTATTCTCTGAGTATCTTGAGCATAACCATGATGATTCAAAAAAGAATATTCTAGGTAGCTTTAAGGATATTCTAAGTAGGAATAAGGATATTCTAAGTATAGGATTAAGGATATTCTAGGAAGGTTTAAAAATATTTCAAATATTCTTAGGTTCCTATAAGGTGGGATAAGAGCCATAACACAATCTCTAGAGATAAAACAATGTATTAATAGTTATGAAATCAAATCTAGTTATGCAAGGTTATACTTTAAAAATTAGTTGATATAATGTGTAATTCAAAAGTTTCTAAAGTAGACCATGACCTACAGAATAAATTATTTCCTCCAAAAACCCAAATTTTTCATATGGCTTACCTGCACGCTGTGCGTATATGTTGTTAAATATATTTTAGTTAGAACAACAATATATTTCATTATTCAGTCAAAGCCAACCACGGTAAATTCCCTTTAATGCATTTTCAATTTTCCAAAAAAAGCTTCCGCTTGTTAACCAAACACCTGCAAGCAATTGAAAACTTAGACGAAATATCGCTTTCTTACTTTGTGGAATATTCCGTTTAAATAAACATAAGCTTCGACTCGCTATCACTCACAGATCTATTTCACTCACACCCGCATAAACACGTTTAAAATAAATTGTTAAAATAAATGAAAACACCTACTTTGTAACACTTTGTAACATATCACTCTACCTTTATCTCCACGCTAAACTTGGGCAAACCACACCATTTCTTTAAACCAATCAGAAGGCACTCTTAACTAGACGTGGCGAGATATTTTTCAAAGAGAGAACTATTCGAACCTCTAAGCTAGCAAGACAAAATCAATCTCCGCTCGAACATTAAAACAAATAAGAAAGATCTTTAAAACCAGCATATTTTGAACTTGTGTAAAAGTATCACTTAATTATTGTGGTTATTGAATATAAAGTTTATAAAGTTAAAATAAACCAGTTAACAGAAGCATTCATTTCAATTTCTGCATTCCACGACAATCAATCTATCAACCTATCAACAAGATTTTCTACAACATTCGTCATAAATACAGTCCACAACTCAACCCTGTAAATCGGAAAGAACCCTTAAGCAGGCAGCTACATATGTTATAAATATACACCAAAAAATATAGGTACTTACCTACTAAATGGGAATAAAATTCATGTGTACAAACTAATACCTTCTAAATGTAAAAGATAGAGACATGAAACAAAAAACGAGGTGAAATTAGAAAGATATTATGATATTTTTGTTATAACGAGACGTAAGATAAAAGGCGTTACTGCCTTTACATTTTCTAATGGAAAGTAGGGTCATGTGATACCTCATTTGAAAGATATTTTAATTATCTTTATGTTCATTCCAACAGTTTTAGATTTTTATGTTATAGAAAAAATTACATTAAATAAATTAATGACATAAGTTAATGAAATAAATTAATGAATTCCAGCTTTGTGGAACATATCCAAGGGCTATACTAGCTCGGAATAGTTTACACAGTGGTTTTTCCAGTACTTACTAGCAATTTTGTAGATGTGTCGGAATTATACCATAAGGTCTTCTTGTCTTTTATGGTTGAAAAGAATTTATCGCTCGTACAAGTTTCGTTCTGTTTATTATTGTATTTGCAAGATATCACGATAATCTCACATTCAGGGTTGTGTAACTCTAAAATCTCCTCCTCTGTGTTTATATGTTCCTGATTTTTCAAAGATTCCATGCATCGTTGCTGATCTCTCTGTTAAGTTTTCCGGAGTCTGGGATATTCTGGAAGGCTTTCAATGCCTTCGCAGAATTTCTTGCACAAATTTTCTTTGGCTTTTCTGATGGCATAACTATATTCTCTCCGGTACGCCGGATACTCCTTATGGACTTCCCAGTTTCTCAACTTTTTGACCAGGTTAAAAAGTTTACGAACTTCTGCTCTTTTTTTGGAGAGCTCCAGATTCCACCACACAGCATCACGATCCGCTTACCTTAGGTGAAGGAGGAGGATAATTCCAACTCGTGATTCATTTTCGTTTAAAAATTGGTATGTAAAACAATCTATGGTGAAGAAATATGTCAAACAAGAAAGAGACAAAAGGTCATCAAAGGACAGTCGCCTTAATTTACAATTTACAACAATGTTGTTAACAAGCTATTAAAAAGTCAATAAACATAATTTTGAGTGATCCACTTTTTTAAGTATAGCCCAAGGGACTGCTTCGAAACTACTAATAAGCATAATTCACAGGCCTAGAGAAAATGGTGGAAAGATCCAAAATAACTATGTAAACTGTCACGAAGTAAATGTACCTGTCAAAATCAATAAGACAGAAGTTTTGTTTCATTACACACTTTCTCTGACTTTACAACACTTTGCTATAATCATGTTTGTTCCAGAATAAATCTAGGTATTCAAAATGGTTCCTGGTAAATTTAGTTACCTACTTTTGTTTTTTCTGCATTGTTTCTCCAGGAAGTATTGAGTAAAAAAATAAAACTAGATATTATTTAATTTACAGATTCAGTTTCATATTGGTAATATAAAAATTCTATTAAAAAAATCAATAGAACACATTTATTGAAAGGTGTCACTCGCATAGATCCTCATAGACACACCTCTTATGGGTTTTACCAGATATTATTTTTTTGCCTACGGTCAGGTCAAATTAAATAAACAAAATTATTTTTCTATTAATTATTAATTGGTCCCACCTATCTTTATTGTATTCGTTTTAGTTGCTGTTTATCTATATGTATGCGATTAATATTACCGCTGTTATAGGTATTTAATTGAATATATAAAGATTTTAATACAAGAAAAATCAAACTTTTTATTATTTACTGAATATTTTGGCTTACGAAACAATTTTTTCGGGAAGAAAAAATGAAAATAAAATATAAAATTCCCAGGATTACAAAAAGTTATTAAAAAAAATTCATACAGAACTTATGGGTTTTAATTCAATAAGTACGATAGATCGATGCAAATGATGAAAGGTGGATTGATAAACACATTATAGCTATCAAAAAATGTTGTGAAATAGGGTGGCCAAGTATATCTGAATGCATTTTAAATGTGTGTATCTCAAAAAGTATTTGAAATATCAATGCAAGCTTTTCAATGGGCACCTTTAAAAAGTTTTTTGTACTCTAGAACTTTCGGTTACACTGGAAATATCTAAATTAGATTTTTTCAGATTTAGGTCAACTTTGTTATTTCAAATGGAAAACCCTGGATATTTTAAGATATTCGAAAAGAATTGTGTGAAGCCCGAAATTCTAAAAGTTTTGTTTGACCACCTATGCTTGCTACCCAGTCATATTTTTGACCCCTCTCAGAAATAAAAATAAAAAAAAGGCCTGGCTGGCTCCCAGAAATTTATATTTTTGACTACCTATTCAATTTTTTTTTGTGCAGTAAATTACAACAAAACAACAGTTCTGGGACGAGTTTCAACTTTGAAAAAATGATCAATCGCCAGCAAAGGACAAAAAATCATGTATATACGTTTGACCATATCCTAAAATAATTCAAAATACTCCAAAGGGGGTTAAAATAAGAAGAAACAATTTCCCAATTTAATTTCGACATGGACAATCGACATAAGGGCACAATAAAGATTCATAATGTTTTAGAATTATGTTTGACCATCCCCTAAAATAATTATTTTGACCTCAAAAGGTGTAAAAATTCGAGAAATACAAAATCAATATAAAATTTCCACTTGAAAAAATGGCCAATCGAAATAACGACATGATAAAAATACATAATGGTTTAACGTTTGACCACCCCCTAAAATTATTAAAATGAGTGAGAAAATTGTAAAAATACAATTTTCAAAGCAAATTATACTTGGAGGTCAATCGACATCAAGGCACAATACAGATATTAAAAGATTTAGAATTATATTTCGACGTTTGACCTCATGCCGAATGACCATTTTTTCCAAGTCGAAATTTAATTATTTTATGCAAATTTTATGCCAAAACATAATAATTATAAACCTTTTTTGGACCGTTATTGTGCCTTGCTATTGATTGATCATTTTTTCCAAGTCGAAATTGATTGGAAAATTGTTTCTTCGAATTTTGACTACTGTAGGGTATTTTGAATTATTTTAGGGGGTGGTCAAACGTCGATACATAATTATTTTCTTCAGAGGACCAGCGTCTTTTATTTAAAAATTTATGTTTTTGAGGAAGGTCAAAAAAGTTACTTGGTGATTAAACGCATGCTGCTTTAAAAACTTAAATTTTCGAATTTTGTAAGGCCAACTTCATACAACATTCAGAAAGTATTTTCTTATCCCAAAAAATGTAGCATATGTACGGGTTAACAAAAATAAACAAAAATAAACAAAAATAAACAATAATAAACAAAAATAAACAAAAATAAACAAAATAAACAAAACTAAACAAAAAATAAACAAAAATAAACAAAAATAAACAAAAATAAACAAAAATAAACAAAA